CCCCAAAAAAAAAAAACCCCAACACTATTTAAGAGTATGGTCATAGATTTTCAGATAAGTATGGAATCAAGTGTAATTTAAATCATCCTTCTAAATATTTCTCCTTCAGGTGTCTGTCATAAAAAGGTCTATTTCAAATATTAGACTTGTATTAATATTAATGCATGCTAGTAGGATTCAGCTATGAACCACCTACCAACATACTGAAAATGAGCATGGTACTACTGAAACCCCAAGCTGACAGGTGGTCTCTGTGCAAGTGAAATAAATTTATCACTTGGCGAGACAGAAGGAGAGTTACATCAAACACGGAGCAGAATCAGTCACTTAGAAAAATGCAGGATTATCATATTCCCACAAATATTTGCCTTAAGTACACGTTACCAAAAATGTAACTTTAAAAACAATGTTGTTTTGTTGTTTGTTTTTTCTTCTCTGATGATAGCTAATTCAAATAAGTAAAACAATGCTAGAATTAAACTGATCTAAGTTTAAGTAAGTCTTTACCTTGTCCTTAAGAATATACCCAACATTTGACAGGAAGTATAGAAGTGACATTGTATTGCCATCTTGAGGCTTGCTAACAGAACTGCATGTCCAAAACAAAGTACATACATTTGCTATGAGGCACAACAGTTATTTAGCCAGATGTGCCAAAGTCATTATAAAACACACAGCATTAAAACCCTATGTTTCATCTTTATTTTTATGCCAGGGCCTCTGCAGTTCCTGTTCTGGACTGAATATATTTTTAAAGAGGGAAACTCCTTAAAAGTAGAACTAAAAAAAACCAATAAAAAGATCTATTTAGCATCTTAGATCCTGTCAGATAGAAAATCAAGATTATTCATCTCATTCCTACAGGAAAAATCTGCAGTTAAAGCTTAATTACTAATACAGATTTCCCAGATCCTTTGAAATTACTACTCAAGTTTAGCTTAGCATTAAAAACTGATTCAGTTTAAGAAACAAGTTATATTAAAAGATTATACCCCAAGTTGCTGCATGTAATATTAAGAAAATATAGGTACACAGTTACACATATTGCATGTCTTAATACAGATATAGTTATAACATAGGAGCATTCATAAACAAAATGGCATGCTTTCCAGACATAAGACACTTTAGTGTGGGTTTAAAGAGGTAAGAATCACCAAACTACATCCGAAGGTAGTAGCTATGTAAATTGTCCTTGCAATAACTCACTTTTAAACAAATCTCCGTATCACAAACCTATGCAATACTTTGGCACCCTGCTGAAATAAAACCTTCAGATGTCAAATACATAACCACTGTAATATTTTAGAGAGGGGTTTTGACTGTTTTGGGGGGTTTTGTGGTTGGTTGTTTGGGTTTTTTTTTCAATTAACATCTACTTCAGAAAATATCACTTGGAAAACGTGTCTGTTGATATTCCCACCTCTGAAATAGCATGGAATACTCTGTTGAATTTAGAGCTGGATGGGAAGTACCAAGTTGAAACTGTGAGATAGATATATATAGATATATATATATATTTGATTGCTGTATATATGCTTTTAATAGAGGTCAGAGACATCTGATTTTGTTTGTTTGTGAAACTAATTATATCTACAAGGCTACTTACAAAGGGCTACCGGTTTACTAAACCTGCTAAATCTGTTTTTCTTCTCCTCTAAACAAACTGGCCTGTAGTCAAAACACACAAATAACCATTTGAAGGCTCTTCTTTTCACACCCACAGTGAAGTATATTTTCCTGAGCAATACCCAGGTCTTTAAGCAAACAAGGAAAAGCCTCACTGAAAGCTACCTGCTTGGTTTGCAGGCTGCCAGCCCGAGTGCTTGGCAGCACCTGGGGGTCCCATTGGCTTGAGGGCTGCAGCAGGTGTGGTGCTGGCAGGAGCAGGTCTCACATCGGCATTCTCTTGGTGGTTGGGCATGCTCCTCACTGAGGTGGATGTAAAAGCAGCGGGCTGGGTAGCCTCCAGGGAATCACTGTTCAGAAACAAGGGACAAAAAAATAAAATGCATTTCTTGCTAGAACAAGAGCATTTGTGAAATGGAGACATGGAACAACATCCCTGCACCTCGATGCAACAGAGCAGCACCCTCTACTCTGTCATCACCAATGGTGGGCTGATCGCTCCAGGACAATGCTGTGGAAGTTATATTTTCAAGACAGTTTTTTTTAAGAACTGGACACTTGAGTAATTTCTCCCCAAAGAGCACTATAGACAACTAAATCCCTTCACAATTCCCATTTAAAATAAATAAATGTTGGCATGACACAGGTTAAAGCAGAACCCTTACTGTAAAGTTGGTACACTCCAACCTTTTCAATACTTTTTCTTTTTCTTGGAGAGTAGGCAAATACTCATATAGTAAAATTATACTTGTAGAACTTAATAAAAATCAACTATCTAAAAGTGACTTAATTATATGCAATTTTCTTCTATGGGCCACTGCTCCCCCAAAGGATTAAGTATTTTAAAAGAGCTGTAAGTTTCTTTATTCATTAAGCAACAAGCACGATATTTTATATTGCCTCTTTAAAGCAGTTTACAGCTGCTTTTACATTTTAAGGGTTAGCAGAACTCTTAGCTATTTAAAAACATGCATGATGAAAACTGAACTTAACCACAATTCACACAGAGTGTACGTAGCCACTAATTACATTGTCAGCAAGAAAATTTTTCATTTCTCATTTCCAGAGGCTGTTCAAGAATGAGAAAGTTATCACAAATTTTTTATGCAGTGTAACAGTATTTGTATAATGGATATATTTGCCTTTGGGAAGCTGAAAATAAATATTTTCATTAAAAATCCACAAAATAAAAGAGTAATTGCTAATGAAGGTCATTTGCAAACTAAAAGGATCACAAAAACAGGAAAGGAACTCAACAACATAGTGAAATACAGGCGAAACAATTCCAAATACATATTCCGTGCAACCTGGACATTAGAAGACATGTATTCTTTCCTCTATTGAAGAAAAACAAATTTACAAAACATGTGCACCATGCATATTTCACTGGGGTCATTCACAGAATTATAGATTGTGCCAAGTTTGTAAAGTAAAAATCCTTGAGCTATTTTTACTTTACAAGTATTGCACACGTACAGTATTGCCTTGGCCATATGACATGCAAGAACTTGGAACATACCAAGAGGCCAAAACACAAGTTCATAACCTTGATTTTTTTTGCCTCTAGATTTAGAGGGTTAATAATTGATGTATTTAGAATATTTTTCTGGATAAAGGATTATTTGTGCTTTAAAAGCTGAATCTGCAGATGGCTTCAGCCTTGAGCAATTAATTCCTGAAAAATAAAACAAAGCACACTGACAAGCAAGAATGTGTATGAGACAAGATAAGGGATGGTTTATGTGCTGTAATCAGTAACCATTCAGAAGTAAAAGAATGGCTCGTGAACAGGTGGAATTATCCAATCCAGTATTGTAACCAGGCATGTGAACAGTAGCTTTTAGCCAATGAAGAATTGTTTATGTGCACGTGTTACCAGCTTAAGAGTATATAAGCAATCATGTAACCAATAATAGAGGTCTCCAGTTTGATTCACATTGAATCGTGCGGAGTCCATGATTCGTCGCTCTCACAAAGGATAAAAAAAGATTCACACTTCAGCGAATATATCTGAATGCTCAGTTTAATGAGTAACAGTTCTTGTACTCACAGGCTTTCGATGACAGTGGTAGCTGTGTTGAACTGACACTGATGGATTTGCTATATGCAGTGTGCAGAAACCCAGTGAAGCACAAAGTGAGACCTTGCATTCTGTTACATTCAAATGTTAAAAGATATTTAAGGACATTTGTATAGCACAAATGGAGGCATTTAAGGCATATGTTAGACTCCTTAAAGGCTTAGGATATAAGTCTTTTTAACAACAGATTTTGAGGCAGCAGAGACATACTGCCTAAAAGCACCGTAGCAGACTGAAAGAAAAAAGATAGGAAGACCTCCTCTGACATTAAGTAGCAGGCTCAGTAGCTGAAGATAAGGAAGTTTAGGACTCGCTTCCAATATGAAAAAAGTGTGTCTGCAACTTCAGCATCACAGAAATCTCCTTCTATACTGTTCAGTACATTTGACACAAACCTGCTCCAGGCCAGAGCCCCATTAAAACTTTAAGAATTCATCAAAACACTGTTGGTCCTAAAAAAATAAAGTTTTACCCTTCACCAGCCAAAAGACTCATCACCACTTGTCAAATCACTTTTCAAGTCTAGCACCACTTTACTGTCTTTATCTGGAACATATAAATTGTATAAATCTCTGTTGTAAATAAGAAAATCCTGCTGAGCTAGCAGCTGTCTTTACACAACAGAAGAGGCTACTTAACAAGCAAAAATGGATGCAAGACAAGCAAAAAGGGTAACTTTCAGGCAGAAGGAGGATAGAAAAATGCAGAAATGGCTAAGGTGTGCTGCTAGCAAACTGCAGCCTTAAAGTAGGTGCAGGCAAGGAAGTACACTGACACGAGGCTGCTTGTAATTTGTACTTTTACCATTGCCATTTTTGTGGTTTTATGCTGAGGCTTGTGCATGACATGGCATGCTGGTTCCTGAAGCAACAGATTATTGGACACACTTGGGCTTTCATTTAGAAAATGAAAAGACTGGAAAGGTGAATCCTAATGACCCCAAACTAAAAGACAACGACAAACCCAGCTATCAAACCTCCTGTGAGTTTTGACCCTCCGATGGTTTATGTGCCACGAATCTTTTCTAGAGAGAAGGGAAAAGCTTTTCCCAAGGGAAAAGCTTGAAGCCTTCACTCTGACAAAGACTTTCAAAGTGCTGCACCCTGGAGATATTCAACCTTAAGTGCTAAACTTCTTCAAATTCATGCTTCAAAATTAAACTTCAACATTTTACTTTATGTTCTTCTTCACTGAGAAACACTCAAACAACAATTATTATTACCCATCTTTATAAATACAGCTATCTTTTCAGAAGCACACTTACCTTCTACAAAGTGGCTGTACAATACCCACAATTAGCCCTACTAGAATTTTGTAACTTACTAGGATATTGTACAATGACAACCCAAGACTCATTGACTAGAAAATATATGAAGAGACAAAAATATATACAGAAATTCAAGAAAATGGATAGGTTATGGAAGAGAGCTCCTATCTGCTTTTCAGTGTAATCACTAGAAAACTGAAGGAGGAATGATAAACCTTGTGTATTTACCAAGTTCTGCATGAGTAGCTTTCTCAAACTTCCCAGATGGCACTCACAGATCAGGTTCAGGTCAAGCACATTTTGATGTCAAAATGCTTGTACTGTCACTAATGACAAGCCTACCTTCTAACTCTAGCTTTAACCTTTTAACTCTGTTTCAGAACTCTTAAATGATTCATCCTCCACCTGATGAATACTTACAGCAAAAATGAAAGTTTTCCATGATGAAAATTAATGCAACCAAGAGTCACATCCATGTTAAGAAAGACCATGCTGCTTGCAAGACATGAATGCTCTGCTGTCAAGCTTTGGGCAAGGGGTTTAAGCACTACAAGAATGAAGGAACAGTGGAACACGAGCTTAACTGACTTAAGAGTCTTGTGTCCTGGAAACCCACAACATGTTTAATTAATAAGTAATGGGAAGATTAATCAAAATAATTCTGAACTGGGTTGCAAGGTAAACAGATTGCAAAAACAGCCCAAGAAAAAAGTCCAGTAAAGAAGCAAGCCAAAGACACCTCTCTCTCTTTCACATATGCTAGCTCATACCTGATACACTCTCCTGAATTTCCATGGAAAACAGTAACTACTACACAGTGCAGCCCTATTCTATCAGGGTAAGGCCATGTATGGAAAAGAAAGAACTTTCTGGGAGGCCATTCTGAGACCTGGGGACACACACCTGGGGACAGTGCCAGTGCAAACTTTATCCAGAGCTCACAAGAGGCTCCTCAGACTTACCCCTCCTGATCAATAAAAGCGTTGTAGAAACAGGCAAAAAAAGACTAAAAAACAAGTGATATTTCTTCTGCTATTCCTCCTCATCTTCCTCCCCAAATACCAAAAAATGTATTACATCCTGTTTTGTTGGTGGAAGGACAGGGAGAAAAAGACATTTTCCAGACGACCGACCCATCACTGAATGTGTTACTGAGAGCTTCTTGGATGCTACAGGGGGGTGATAGGCAAGGAAGATGAGGGGGAGGAAGCAGGTCCAGGTCACACACTGAAATGAGCATCAGTTTCAGACACCCCTCTGGGATATTTGTATCCATACCAAACCCTCTTCCTTCCCAAAATTACATGCATCGAGAAAAAGCTGAACACATTTGAGAGGCATTTTAAGAAATTTGCACTGGAAAATCCTTCCAGTGTATTTAGAGGTTTCTTCACACACACTTTAGAGAAGATAGCTATGTGTCATGTTATTAGCTAAAGGAGAAGCTATGGTCCTAACTGAAAATGAAATACAGTTTGTCATTGTGTAACTTCTAACACCACTAAAATGGCAACAAGAGCAAAGTCTCTCAGACTTTCCCAAGCAGGTTCAAGAGGTCTGGGTGGACTTTTTCCTCATGGAAGTTCAAGATACCAGGTTATCCATCTGTAAATATCATCACTTGAGCCCTGAACTCAGTCTGATACAATAGTTTTTTCCTAATAGTTCTCTGTATTATAAATGATATTTTAACTCCCACTTGTTGCCCAGAATGACTGTGTGAGTCAGGAACAAGTCCCCTGTGGTCTGAGGAAGCTTGCTGACAGGAGAGGTCATACAGTATCTATGAGACAGTCTGTAAATGCTTTCTTCAGAAGGCCATGAATTCTGTGAGTTATTTTCCCTTAAGAACACTAAATCTTTAAAGACAAAAACAAGACAGAAAAAAGAAAAGATGTGAGCAAATCACTCAGTTTCTGGCACAACCAAATGGAATACAATAGCCTTGATTCTGCTTCTAAAACCAAAATGCTTTAACAAAAAAGTTAAACTTCCCTTGCATCACATATTGTTGCCTGTTGGTTGTCTGTTAATCCCAAGAAGGCATTAAGCATGCAGCAGAAATCTGAATAAACAGCTTCTAAAATACACACATAGTGCTTGATATAGCACTGAAGGGGGGCGGGGGAGGGGGGGGCAGGGTGGAAGACATTTTAAATACAAACTTTTTGAAACGTTTGGATTAAATGCAAAGTTGCAAAACTTTGCAGCTTCAGATTAAGGAAAGAACAACTGTCTGCCATAAGACCAAGTAAACTGTTACACAGATGTTTCTCCACAGCTTTACAGCACGATATTACTAACACAGCTGAGAAATCTTGAATCTCAGACCTCAATTTCACGTTTTAGGCTATGCTGTTTAAGTTGTACACATCACATGATGTATATTTTATCCATTATCAAAATATACATTAGTTGAAGACATATATAGGAGACTAGAAAAAAGCCAGGTAGGCAAATGATGAAAAAATTATGAAAAACAGGGGAAATACATATGCCTTTTTGCAAGGGCTGTCTGGTGTAATGATAGAGAAACAGAAGACAAGAAATACTGAGTGCTGACCTTGTTCCCACCCCTACTGCAAACTCATGGTCTCAGTCAGCATTTTAAAACCATGCTTACATTTCTTGTTAACCTAGCAGTGTCCCAATAACTTGACAGAAGAAATTGCAAAATAAAATATTAAAAAGAAAGAACAGAGAAAGTCATGTGGGCGGAGGCATTTCCATGTCAAGTTACAGTGAAGGTGTATGTAACCCTTCTGTAAGCAGTGCTCAAAGATTCAAATACTCAAATACTTTTGGGATAAGTATTCTCTCAGAGTCAACACCAACGTTTATCTCACAAGGCCAGATTATTGTCTTTTCAAGTAATTGTACGTGGCATACTGTCAGGTAGATAAAGCAAAAGCCATGTCAACGCTAGCATCTTCCAAAATTTCACAGCATTTTTGCCATGCAATTTAATTTCAGGACAGAGCTCCAGTTCTTGCAAATGCAAGATATTGAATACATAATTTCCTTTGCTGCATATATGTAGTTTGTTAAAAACCACAAACCTCCGTAAACTTAAGGTTGTCTCCGTTGTCATCAAGATGAAACTTAGTTTACTGAAAGATTGCATGGCTTTTATAAAAAAAACCAACCCAACCAACCAAACAAAAAAAAGTCAATTTCTGAGGACTTCTGGTAGACAAGGAAAACGTGTGGATGTTCAGCACCACTTCAGGTCAGTTAATTACAGAAATTAATTCAGAAAAAGGTCAAATTCTGTGGCAGCTACCTAGTACAGAGCAGTTTAAGACAGTCAGCTTTTTGGAACAGAGATGGTGAAGTGAAAGGGATAAATGGGAAATATTTCTGGAGCAACCCTATTGCATAACAAAATCAAAACCCTGCTTTTGTTATAGCTACAACCTTCTTCGAGTTTTTTCCCAGTGATAATGCAACCAAGTCTAAGCTACCTTGGTAAAATAGATTAATTACATTTCATTAAAGTTATACAAGATAGAGCCCAAAACCAAAAAGCCCCAATTTTTTTTCAGCTTATTTAAACAACTGAACAAGTTATTCTACTATACAACGTCATATACTCATCTCTTTAGTTATGGGACAGAAGATTTCAGCTCTCCTTCCTTATCAACTATTGTGTTGTGGGATGAAGCGAGTTGTCACTTTTTCAGCATTACATTTGTGCACATATTACAATATGTCATTAGACAGACAGTAATGCAAAGTCATTTTAATACCTAGTTTCTCACACTCATTTGGTACATTTCTCCCTGGTCTATTATATTCTTTTTTTTCTGACATAATTGATTAGCTTTGTTGGATCTTTGTTGAACTTAAATGGGAAAATGTACTTAGTAACAGTAAATTGTAAGCATAAACTGTCATCTTCTATCTCTTTTTTCTACATGTTTCTCAATCTATACAATAGGGTTGTGCTCCTTTTTTCACTAGAATAAGGGAACACAAAGCTTCATTTCTACAGCTCCATCTAGGGGCAACCCCTTCCTCCTTACTGGTCAAGATGAAAATAAGGAAAACAGAAATCATTGCCCTGGTATGTTCTATGGTAACTTCAGATCTTAACCAGCTATTTTTGGAAAAAAAAAAAAATAAAAAAAAAATCTTTCAAATATGCAGTTTATGCATAATGTTCTCAGACTAACAGTACTGCTGCATCACATTTCCCAAATTTCAGGTCATCTCCTATTCTGGATATCCCTAGCAACCTGAAAATCATGGGCTTCCTGTACGGCCTCATGCCACCATCTGTACACAGCAACCTGAACCAGGACAACCTAGCTATTGCAATAGTATAAGAGAAAATTCATTTTTCACAAGTTTGGAAATAACGTTTTAAAACCCCTAATAATCTGTGAATGTTTACTTCAAGCCATTCAGCCTGGATCTTGATATATTTAATACCAATAAGGTCTTTTGGGCAGGCTTATATAGTCTCTGTATTCCCAGCATACCCCTTGGCTCCACAGTACATCTCTTTCCAGCTCTGCCAGCTGGAAGAGCAAAACAGAGAAAAACCTCCAAACCCAAACTTTAACTATGGCGAGATGAAAGAAGTTCTCCATAGCTTGTTGCCTTTCCCCATGGGCAGTCCCATGTACTCATAAGGGACAGCAATTGGACAGAGTCAGTTTAGGAATCTCAACTTTCTAGCAGAAATAAGTATTTTCATCTCCAAAAGTAAACCTTCAAAATGAGGAGAGTTTTCCCCCCATATGGTGAGCAAACAATAGATAAACTCATCTCCAAAAGTAAACCTTCAAAATGAGGAAAGTTTTCCCCCCCATATGGTGAGCAATAGAGCCAGTTTCAGAGTCAGGAAAGAGATTGTTTCCATTTTTGTAATAATCTACCTTCATTCGCAGCTTATGCCATGAACAAGATGTATTAGTGACTGAAGTAAAAAAGAAAAAGTCAGGGAATTCTCACTGCCATTACTGGCTCTACTAACGTATCAGCAAACAAAACACCACAGCGAAAGTCTTGCTGGCAGCACGTCCTGGACTTCACCCATGGTGCACAGCTGTCAGAACTCCTGGAGAGGTTTTCCCTTTGGACAAACACATTAAAAGATTTCCTAGTAAATATCATTCAGTGGCAAAAAGAAAATTAGTATTTAAGGTTGTGTTATGTCACTATAATTCTGCCAATGTTATTTTTTTTCTTTTTGAAGTGGATATGCCACAATATTGGAAAATTTGATACAACTTAATATTGTCTGTTGGTGTCTAATAACTACCATTTCCCATCCCCAAAGTTAGAGCTACTTTAGCCTTTTCTAGTGACTGAAGTCACCTTGGGATCCATGAAACAGGACAGAAAGATCTAATACTTCTTATTCAACAGAAATTTCTTACATCAAGTGGATCTCAGCTCAACTTATAATTAGGTTTTATCTCTAGAAGAGTTTTACTCTTGTGAAAATGCAAATAAGTACACCAAAGCCCACAGATTCTTTCTTCCTTAGCAGAACTTAATACATATTGTCCTGTAAAACAACCAAATAGATTTCCGCCTTTGAGGCTGAAGTCCATTACATAAAAGCAGCTTTCCACAGTGTTAACATAGCTGCGGTCAGGAAACAAGAACAAAAAGTCCTGTGCACTGAACAGAATCAGCACTGAAACAAAGGGCCTAGACAGTAAATAAGTTTTAAAATAGTTATTTGCTGCACCACATGCCAGTTATTCTATTTCATACATTAAAAGTGAGCTTTGAAAAATAGCAGCTCTTTGTTCCTGGAGCACCCTCGTAGTCTAACACGCCGCTTACTTGCTCAAGGAACTGTTGCAAATAATTCACCTGGATAGAAGTTTCAAGCCACAAGTTTCTTTCCCAGTTGGCTATTTAGAGTGATGGTGCCTCCCTCAGAAGTTTGCAATACAAGCAGCACCTTGTGTCTCAGAAGGGCACTTGATGCAAGTGAGGAAACCTTTGCTTAGTACAGTGAGCTTGCACAAACACCATTGTCAGGACCAGGGTGCAGATTAGTTCTGCAAAGAGGTGAACACCAGTAGGATTTGGGGTTGGTGACTTTGTACCAAAGACCACAACAGGCAGATTGCTTCAAGCGTGCGGACAATAGAAACAGGCTTTGAAGGAGAAGCCAGTTTCTTGCAAGTCCTCGGTACCAACCACATGCCACACTCGAACAATACCTCTTGCTCTTTTGCAACTCCAGAGCACTTGTGGACTTCCTGGAGGGCCCGATGGCTGGCAGAGGAGGCTTAGTGACAGGTGTGATGAGCAGGGCATCCAAGAGCGAGCGGTAGACACTACGTTCAGAGAGTCTAGCAAGTATTTAAAAAGATCACATAAACAAAGTAGGTGACCAAACAAAGTTCAAGCTGGCTGAGACCACTGAAAACCCAAAAACCCTTATGAAAAGCCTTTAAGTTCTGTAGCACTCTGGAGAAATTGAGCCTAGGTTAACTGATGTAGAAATTATGTCTAAATAAGCAGTCCTCAAAGTGGAGGTCTCAATGCAGGAGATACCCCAATGGTTTGTCTTGTGCATCAGAAGAAATTTTTCAAACTTTATTTTTACCATTAATAAAGTAAAATAGAAAATATTTTGAAAATACTGTTTATTTCATCTTTTTATCATCCTTTTAAAATTTCTGTTTTCATGTTTGATAATGTACATAATGTATGTATTAGTACATTAGTATATTTACATAATTTAGAAATACATAAATATACATCTATTGGAGATGCACGGTCAAAAATTTTATACTGATATGGGTGCATGATTGAAAAACTTGAGACCGCTGGTCTAAGTAAGCCTTTATAAAAAACAATGCAATAAAGATTTAGATGCAACTCAGAGTTATTGTCTTCAGGCATCCAGAAGTTGCTCAAAGATGCAGATTTTTCTTTGTCACCCTGTAACTTAATTATTTTTTACAGTTAATTTTACTGACTGAACCATGAAATGGATATCATGAGGATCAAAAAGACAGAACTACCCTCCAAGGCTCAGAGTAACAATCCAGAGCTAAGCTAAAAATAGGGCATGGAAGCCTTTAGCATATTCTAACGACTTGCCCACCATGCTATTGTGAAAAGCTGATTTTGTAACCCTGCCAGGAAATGATTATTCTTGTGTGAGCTTGAACATTCTTAAACCGAGCTATAAAAAGTTTATTTTAAAGCTGATGTCTACCTGGCCCGGACAGCAATGGCAGCAGACACAGCAGCAGCAGCCATGCTCTTAATTTTTGATCTTTGCTTGAAAGGAGAAAGAACAGGAAGAGAAGGAGGTCCAAACTTGGGCAGATTTCCCACAGGATTTTCCAGCAGGACTTTTCTAGCACAGAAGCTTTGAGCCAATAGATAAAAAAACAGAGAAAGCAGGAAAGATTGACAGAGACCATACAATACATAGTATAAGTAGTACAATACTGGCCTGCATTAACCACCAAAAAACTATGTGATTGTAGATTCCCAGTTCACAGAGATGTCAGGCAATGTATTAGCTGCTTGAACACTAATGTGGAAAACAGCAATTTTGATTTTACCCACAAATAAAGCCTTCCCCTCATCAAGTCAGGATTCAGCATCTATCAGTCTTCAAATTCCCCACCCCAGACTTTGCCCTGGGTCATTCCCACTGAACTCCAGGACACTCCATCTAAGTCTCCATGGTGCTGAGAGAAAGAGCTCTGAAGGTCATTTAGCTTCTTGTCTTTTTCATATAAATAATAAACATGGAAAACTTTGGAATATTTGGTGATATAACTTCACTTTAACCAAATCTGATGTTTTCTTCACTTCCTTTTCATTTTTCCTACTTACTAACTGGGTCGGAAGGAATACTAACAGACAAAAAAAAAAGTGAATACACCATGCCAGCTCCAAAATTGTTTCTATAATGGTGAATCCAAGCTCTACTTAAAAATTTCAAGATTATCCACAGAATTACTGTGCATTTTTAAAAATCAATTCAGAGGAGAACAAAACACTTCAAACACTTACACAATTATACCATACACCATTTCTCTGATTTAAATGTAAAAATGCTGCCTGAAAACCTTGCTTATACCTAGCAGTGTGCTTTAGATACACCTTAAAAGATTTACCTTGTATAACTTACAGATGATTCAGTCTGACAGCTTGAAATTTTACTGAAATAATTTGTTTCGCAAGTAGGCAGAAATGCATCATGCCTGCCCAAAAGCAGCAAGAGAAGAAAAGACATTAGTTAAAAACTTATTATACTCCTGGCAATGCTAAATAAAGCTCAGAAGGAGTTCATTTAAGGATTTTTAAAAGCTCTCCTTACCCATTAAAAAAAAAAAACAAAAAACAAAAAAACAGGTATAGTTTAATATCCATGATCGTTAATTACTGAGGGAAGCACTTTTTCTCCCTATTGGTAAATACTGTACTCTGGATGTCCTCTCACCACGGAAGTTTATGTTTACATTCTCCTCTAAAAACTTCAGGTTACCAGACAACTCAAAGACACATATTTTATTGCAAAGGTGACTGACCTTTGAAAGCCAGGTGAATAAAATGTGTAACACCAAAAAATCCTACATTATGCACGCTGTGCTGTGCCTTCCCTTAAAAACCTTCTTCCACATTTTAACACTATATTTTCACCCCACGTCATCAACTTTTGACAAAGTGACTTCCCAAGCAAATCTAGCCGTGACTGGTTTCTCTGTCTCCATTTAAGGGCTACTTTGATTTTTTAAATTGTTTTTCTAACTTTTGTCCAACATCTACTCAAATTTCTAATTGCTATGCAAACTTACAGAGCAGCATGAGGGTCAGAAGATGCCTATAAGCTGCTCAATTTTGATATCATCATTAAAAAAAACCCCAAAACACATGAAACTGTATGTAAAATTAAAGTTTCTGATCATGCCTTTTTAATGCAGCCGGCTCAGATGTACCTGGCAGGAGCAGGAGGCAGCCCACAGGCTGTTTCCACAGGCAGGGCTGCAGAAGGTGGCTGCCTGGCCAAGGTAGTGGGCAGGGGCAGCTCCGAGGTCTGCGTGGCCACAGTGCATTTTGCAGGGAGAGGAGGTGCTTTGTCAGCCATCAAAAGGCTTGCTGCATCAGGAGCAGGCAACTCTGCAGTTATTCTCCTAGTTGATGTTAATTTCACAAGTAATTATAACAAGACAACATAAGGAGAAGAAATCTCTCACTTCATTAAAAATACCAAACAGTAATGGACAACTCTTTCTAACTACCGTTCTTATATCTTTTGTAAGAAAAACAGGTGAGTAGCATGTGAGGGCTTTTCTTTTCCTTCCCTAGGAACCAAATACTCATCCTTTAGGAATCAGACCATGCTGAAAGTGGTTCTTTGGAGTATTTTTACAGCTGAAGCTTGAGAGCTCAGAACCAGGCTTGTTTAAACACAAAACCAAACTACTTGGGTAGTTTAAGGTACTTATAGACAACAAACTTGAATGAAAGCACAACCAGTACATCAGAAACTCTACCTAGTGCAAGTAGATGACACTTTAGACACTGTGGCTACTTGGCTGCTGGTATTTAAAACCTGAACAACTGCAGGGGGATGAGGTGCACACTTGGGTAAGGCTTCCAAAGGGTTCTCAAACAAAAGTTCTCTGAAGTAAAAGAAAGCAGAAGGACAAGTAGCATTCACCATAGGAAAGCAGTATTTTTCCCCAATATTTTATTACTTCTTGCTTGTCACCAAGCCAACCATAAAGGATCTGACAGTTCTAGTTCAGTCAGTCTGAGACCTCCTCCTCATCCTGATGCTCATTTGCCAATTATATGAGCAACTCCCGTCTTTGCAAATTCCCTTTTGCATGATGATTACAATTGAGGGGAGTTGTTTAGAAAAACTGATGTAGAAATGTCAAACATGCAAAAAAGGAGATCTGGCTGAGTTGAGGGGAGTACAGCAGCAGTTACAATAATTCACGACAAAACAGATTATACTCTTTCCTGGAGTTGCCCTCAAGTTCTCCAAAACTTCATACAGCATCTTTGTGAAGCTTTATAAGTCACAAAAAGGGCCTTGAAGAAGGCAAGGAGAAGAGGAATAAATCAGACTGGGTATATGCTACAAAGGGAGAGCAAACTGACTCCAAATCTTATTCATACATATGCACGTACGCATTGTATTGCCATTTTTCACTTGCTTTGGCAGTAGCTAGGAAACAAGAAATTAATCTTGGAGATTACAATTTCTGCAGAGAATATTTTTGGCTGTTTGCTAACCAGAAAATAAACAAAAATAATGATTAATAGCTATTATTTAATAGTAACTCTTTGTATTTATGACTATCAGGAATAATTCCATTAAAAGAAAAGCTAAAAGTAGGTATGACTGTATGACTGTAAAAAGCATGTATATAAAAGAGCAAACTAAAGACTTGCTGGCACTGGATCTGCTTTATATTAGTTACATATTTCTCAGGAAGCGCCAGATCCTGTGGTTTAAATGGTTTAAAGTTACCAGGGTTACTTTTTAAGATGACTTTTTGCAACTTTCTGGAAGGTTGGAATTGCTTTTAAATTTTTTACTGCTAAACTTATAGGACAGCATTGCATATATGAAATTGAGTAGTAATACACTATAAATTACAGTAGTTTGCTGTATTGCCATATGACTAGTTTAGGCTTTCAATAAAGAACTAAAGCTACAATAAAAAAGCATGCTTTATATTATGAAGTCTGCCTTATAAACAGTGAACCTAACTTTAATCCAGTAATCAAATCCAGATCCTTCATACATTTCACAGCAAGCTCACTCTCCTTCTTGGTGGTTCAGGAGTGGGTGGTACAAATCACAGAGCTTCAGCCAAGAAGAGCCCATTAGGAAAATAAAGACTTTTGCCAGTCATTGACAACAAATGCAGGGCTTCAGTAGCGAAAGTCTACTGACCTTCGGATGGCCCAGTTCTGCTTTACTAAGAGTCTGAAATGGCAGGCACCAATTACTCCACACACATTTCTGATAGTTGCCTTTTTATAAAAAAGAGGTTTTGGAGATCAGCTTTGAGTGTATTTCCCACCCAAAAAAGTGCTATAAAAGCAGCAACATGAGCTCAGCAACAAAACATAAACACCAGATATAGTTGCTACACCGATAACCTCTCATTTGAGGAGAGAATCAAGACTATATAGATTTGTCAAATAATTTATGTTCTTCTTACCATATTTAATGCTAATCCCCTCTACAGCTCTGCAGATGCTGCTCAGATTTCTACCCTTCTTCAGTAGAAAATACTGATCATCTACTTTTTGACTATATGTATAAATACTTCAGCTGTCATCCTGAACCACTGTGAATGTAGCTGTCCTTTCCAATTTCCTGGGGCTCATTTAAAAGCCACTCTCTTACTAGGTTCATTTTGACAAATGATAAACTTAGAGCCATAGGTCTTAAGTGAGAGTAGATTTAATTTCCTTTCCATGGACACAAATCCAGAGCCAGGATGTAGAAAGAATTCCTTGGTACTCAGACCACAGTAGTTGCAGCAGTATCTGCAAGGCATCTGCAGATTGATAGATGTAATCATACTAGAGTTTCCTTGGTAGACATGAAAACCCATTATTGAAGTAGTACTTTTCCCCCTGCCTTTTTCTTTCCAGGTTTTCTGCTTAAAAAAAAGAAAAAAAAAAAGAAAAAAAAACCCCAAACCACACCACCATGAGTATTTCCATACAGCTTTTGTGTGTATTTTTCATCTTTGGTGATGCATAACTACTCACTCCACCTGCTCCCCGGGATTTAAGGGAACGTGCTGCTGAAACCATCACAACCAAATCTTTTCTGAATTGACTCAAACCAAAGGTTACCACGAAGGTACTGGCCTGCTGTTTAAGCAAACCTCTGTCATTACCCACCATCCTTCCTTGACTAATCTCATGTTAGCTCATTAATGTGCCCTCTTCTCCCAGACATCAAAAAAGCCTGCAAAAGACATTGCAACAAAATAGACTTGATGTAGTTTGGTGTGAGGTTTCACTTGATCTCTCTCAAGACTATTGCTTTAAAGGGGAAATTGTCTTAATAGTAGATTTCTAGTTGCAGAAAGCCCACACAGGTATGGGCAATAGTATATTCTTTTCACAAGAATGAATCTCTGTCTAGGGGCCTGGCAGGACCAGGTACTGTTCATTCAGTTATCATTTTTAAAGGAGCAGCCTTATTTCATGTTGTAAGTTTGTGCTTGTGCATGTGTAATAAACACTAGTTACATGGAATTAAAAAAACAAAACACTCCTGCATTATGAAACACAAACCACCAGAAAATGTTATTAACCTTCAAAATTAGCATCATAACCCTCCAAATGACTGTGTCTTACATCCAAAATCGTCACTGCCTAGTACCCATGGATTACCTCCAAAACATCACCAGTTTCCCAAGATAAGTGCCAGTGAAGCTATCCAAGGATAATGACAGGAAATTTGACAGATAATAACCTAGTTTTCTTTGATTGTATCATAGCACAGCACAGTGTTATGAACAAAATAATCCACTTTAATTTTTTAATTATTTTTAAAGGCACTTTTCTGTGTGTTGAAGAAATCTGAATTAGCTTTTGAGTTGCTGAGACTGCTGAAAAGTTACTCCATTCCAGTGAGAGGGTGGACACCCACTGACAATGTACCAACACACACTAAATATTGTCTTGTTTTAACTGGTATCCACGGGACTGTTCATGAATCTACTCAGCTTTATTTCATTTCTCTTCTCCTTCCCTCTCAGGAAAATACCTCTAGTCACAGTAGATTAATAAATATTATTTTAAGTGAATGACAGACAACCCCCTCTCCCCCAAGACAGACAAATCTAAGCTAGAACAACATATAGATAGATAGTTAACTGAACTGAAAACCCCTTGGAATGATTTACCTCCCAGAAGCAGCTGCAGCAATGTGTTCACAAAGTCTGGGAGAGGGGACACTGCCAGGGAAGGATTCTGCTATCGGCAAAGGAGCAGCTGCAGGTTCTGGTCTAGCACCATTTTCACTCCATTCACAGTAACAAAACCAAATAGAGACACACAGAGTATGAGATTTTTAATCCACATGGAAATAGTATGTTGAACAGGAGACACTGTACATGAAAGTGTCAGTAAATAGGGAAAAAAAAAAAAAAGGAAAAACCCAAAAATGTGGACTTTACGTCAAAATACAAATAGGGGGATAAGATGAGGCACAATACATTTATGAAGTGCCATGCTTTTAGTGAAGGTTGAAGTGTCCTCCTGCTTATAAACTCAGAAAGTCAAGTAGTATTTTACATTTACAAAGATGGAACACATATTTAGTATTACATTATGTGAGGGAAAACTTTTAGGAAATACTAGAAAAGGAACAGATAAAAGTGCTAGTGGGATTTAGTCCCAAAGTTTTACACAGTTTTGTTGCAATTTTTTTTAGAGTGTTAGTTTTGTGAAGGTTAGACTACCTATTTCTCAATGTCTTTTTATATCCTTTCTTTTTCCCAGTTAGGGTAGGGAAAAAAGAATCTAAAAAATGTTGTCTTAAAGCCTCCTAATTGAAAAAAAGCACTCAGACATCTCACTAAAACATAAAAATAAAAGTAAACTATGAGGTAGAGAACAATCACAACCACAAGATTTGAGCAGACTAAATTAGCCACAGAAGCAGACATTGCTACCCCCCGCTCATTATTTTTTTTCTTTTTTTCCCCCTTTTTTTTAATATTAGCATTCAGAATTAAATATCTTAATAAAGTAGGGAGCCTTAAGTGCTGAAACTTATTGAACAGACTTAGGAACGATCAGGGAGCAGACCTCATAGGTGGTAAAGGTGTGGATGGAAATTCTGGTACAGGTGGCATCTCCAAAGTCTGTGAGTTTTTATTCAAATTAATACAGGTATCCTGGGCTCCTGCTCCATTAGGTAGATCTGCAGGTATGCTTCACAGATGTTTATAACACAGGGGGGAAAAAGAAAATAAATACATGATTTATGACAGGTTGTTTCAAGACTGACCGAGAGTGGGACAAATATTTTCCAGTGGCTATGGATTAGCAAAACTACAAATCTGGAAAATCCACACATCTTCACTCAGGACAATGAACTGACTCTACAAATTAAGTCCAAAGCCAAATCCGTACCTGGTTGCTCAAAAGGAGATAGTTAAAAGCGAACATCTAAAACAAACTTGGAAATAGGGTGCTCCAGAATTAGAACTAATCAGTTACTACAACACATAAATAAACTTTATGTAAAGGCTAGACTTTGCCTTTCTAAACTTTAAGTTACTGGTTTAAGAGTTGCAATTTACACATTTCAGTGAGATCTTTCTATTTCCTGTTCTTCCAGTTGCTGAAAAGAAAAAACTATTTTATCCACACAAAAATCCCTAGTGGGTTACAGTTTAGGGATAAACAATAATAAAAAATTTACAGGGCATTTGTCTTGGACAATGTCTGCCTGAATAGTTGAATATTATTAAATTGGGATATTTATCTGTAGATTTCTGACAGAAGTTTCAATTTCATTGTTTGTCATATTCATCCTTGTAGGTGATCTCAAATATAAACTTTATTTATATAAAAAAACACTCAGAAAATTTTTTCAAAGATCAGATGTATGCTAGGAATCAGACATGAGGTAGGGCATGTTATCCAACCACAAATGGAAAAGCAGTCCACTGTTTTGGAAACAGTAACAAAGTCCAAAATTTAATGTCAACAAGTGTTGTGCAATGGGGATACTGGGCAAAGACATGACATCTTTAAAGCAGTAAATGAAATTCATTTCACACATTCATAAAACATTTTTGGAACTAGTGATTTGTTACAATGAATTTATAGGAAACTAGTAATTTTATTAGCCTGTCTCAAACTATTCTCATATGCTCAATAGATAGACTCTATGACTACTTATGTTTAATTTTAATGAAAACAGAGGCTTCTATACTCTGGATTATTTAGAGAGGGTTTTTTCTTCCATTTCTCACTAAAGTAACTCACCCTTCAAAAGGATAAGAGCTAGTAAGATAGATAAACATAATAGTAAGTTAAATATCAGTGTGAAGATATTATCTGGGGTCACTGCCATTCTGCCTTTATAAAGAAAACTTTACAGAGAGATTAAGTGATAACCTTTCATAGTTTTCAATACATTGATGTCCTCTGAAACTCCTGTCTTCCTTTCCATTCATAAAGAAAATATTTAAACCCAGCAAAACAATTTTAATACACTACTTCACATTCCTACTTTAATATACAGTATTCTATCAAATGATTATATTGTGGTGTATGTGCACTCAGTAACACACTTGGGTTTAGTAACACAGTACTCACTACAGAGTTACACAATAGTGGGGGGGTGGGGGGGGAATCAAACTGATTGGCACATTGCATCAAAACAATCTTTAGTGAAATTATTAAAGTGAATATTTTCCCCTACTGTCCCTAAGGAGTTAACCCAAAAGGTGTGTAAGATGTGATATGCCTTGGTCCAGCATTACCCATGCAAATCTAGTTGTACGTTACGCTGTGCATCGTTAGGCATCCACATCAGTGACTGTTAGTAACACAGTCTCAGCTATTACCTGAAGTCTCCATTTTCTGTTTGGCTTTTCCTAAAGGTAAAATGACAAATACCATGAGGTACTGCTGTACTGTATAGGAGTATAAACGATCTGAAAAGGAAACAGGCTTAAAATGCTTCCAAAGGTCTCTACTCCTTTCAGTTTTCCAAGTTGTGCAATAAAAAAAACCAACCCACACAAGTCTGCAGAAGCATTTGCAGTGGACACCCATCTGTTCACTGTTCGTTTCCATCAGAGAAGCATGTAGGTCAGCTGCACAAACTACAAGCTGATTGCAATAGTTCTCATTAAGCAGTTATGAAAGATTAGGCTTTTATATGTGCCTTACAATTCACCTTTGAGGTTTGAAACTTCTCTGATTCATTAAGTGTTGCAAAAGCCATGAGGGAGCTTTATGATGTAGAATTCTTACTGCTGTAGCCCCCCCCAAAGTCAATCATTTTATTGACTTCTGCAAATCTCATGCCGATTTTGACAACACAAACGTATATCTCTTTTTTTAACATGATCAGGAACTCTACTACTGTGATAGTTTTATACAATTCAGATTGTTTCTGCCATGCAGCAGAGAGCTAATTGTTTCTTTTACTATAATCTGTGAAGGTACAATGAAAGTACAGCTCCATGCACGAGAAGAATATTCAAGGAGTCAGAGAAACTCAAAAGAAAAACAGACAGAGCTAAGATAAAAGCAACTTTTATTAAAATACTCTTCAAGCTTCAGAAAGCATAAATTAATGAATGTATAGCTACTATAATACATTATTTTACAGGAGAACCGTAGGGCCATGAAGCTTCTATAAACACCAGAAAGCCTATGAGCTTCACTCTGTAATAAATAAATATGACCATCTTATCTTGTTCTTGGTAGAGGATGTATTGAAGCTCTTACAGGTACACAGCAACATTCTGCTCAATTTTTTCAGAGTTTTCCTCGATATTAACATATTACTAGTTTAAGCAGCAGAATATATTGAACTTGCACTTTGATTCACACCATCAGATTTTTTTTTAATTTATTTTTTATTTGCTTAAAAGAAGTCTGTCTTCTTGCTCTACTCTGTAAAACATTTACAACCACTCAAACTGACCTGCTGAAAATGTAGCAAAACAAGATAATTATCCTGGTAAGTACAACAGTCTGAAATAAGTGCATACAGTTCCTCTTACTCTTCTTCCCCTAGCCCCAAAATAAAAGTAATACAATTTCTTATTATTTAGTTCATAATTTTCTGCTTTCTTACAACTTACAGTAACTCAAACTCAGTAATGCAAATGACTCTTTAAGGAAAAAAAAAAAAAAAAAAAAAAGGAACTGCAACAGCCATCTCCTCCCCCACATTGGGAGATTCAGTCATCCAAGTTGTTCTGTTTTAAATAAGTATTTTTTTCTTAACTAATGATTAACACAAAAACATTTTCATCTTATTTTTTACACATCAGTAGGAAAGTGTTAGAAAAGTATAGAAAAGGGTAGAATTTCTCTCGCAGTAAGGCTAGTGTAATATGTTTTCTTTTTTTTTTTTTTTTTCTTTGCAAAGCAGATGGAAAAGAAGAAAGGAAAGAAGTTTGCATTTGGCTTTTGCAACTTGGGTAAAATCACTGGACATTAAGAACACGTGCTGAGACTTCATGGTGCCAGTCACGTAATTTTGTATATTTGGGGCTAAAGACGTGGATGGGAACCTTTTCCCTGTGGAAAGAAGTGATAGAAGAAAAATAAGAAAGAAAGAAAGAAAGTTTGTCTTAAGCAGTTTCACAAGTGAACATGCACTCTCCCATGCATTATTCGTATCTGCACACTGTCTTCCTCTCTGTCAAAAACTTGGATCCAGTGTTAGGCAAAGTCAGTAGAAAAACTCTCACTGGCTGCAAGAACAATTAGATTTGGGTACTGGTTGGTCTTTATTTTGAACAATGATTATCCCAAACCAAGGAGACAGCTGACCTTCGTTCACAGTCCAGAACAGTAATACTTTCCAGCTATGCCTTGCAACATGACCCACACTCACAAATCAAAAATGCCTGCTTAGATTTAGGAAAAGGAAAACACGTTGGCAAGCTGACCTCATTCAGAAAACCAAATCAATACAAGTTTATGGGAAATCTCAGACTCCTGCACAAACATGAATAAGGGACTGCACCAACAGATTTTAAAAGGTTGGTCTACTCAGAAAAAGATCTTGACTTTAACATGCTGAAGTAGAAGGCAAAAAAAGAAGCAACATTTTAAAAACACCCAGATGTCACAGAAATGCAGTTAAGGATTATGACATGCAAAGTATTAAAGTAATAAAAAAATGTAAAACATCAACTCACTTAGTCTTCTTCGCAGCTTCATGTTCTGGTTCTTTCACTGCAAGGAAACAGAAAAATTTTATTTTTTAAGGCACTAAAGGCACTATGCCACTGTACACTGAGATTCTCCCCTGTGCTAATGCATTCACCGCAGCAGGAAATTACTACAAGGCTTGTTAGGACTTCCCAATTCTAGATATAGCCCAATGGAAATGAAGTATGTCTATAAACTTCAAGAGCTCCTTTGCCAGCAGGATTGCTGAAAGGTGGCTCTGCTGGTCTCTGCCCTTTCCCTTGGTCCACCCTCCATGTTTTCATTGAGACAGGTGAGTTGAGGAGGTGAAGATGACTGAAGTTGGGAGGCATTTCTTTTGGATGAACGTGCAGTGGGTTTATATCAGTAGATGATAATCTACAAGCACCTGTTTGCAGCCAGGCTGTGACCCATCACGGTGCTACAGGACTGCCTGTGGGATAATTTAAATTCCAAACCCTGATTTTAAGTTTGGCAAATCTAGTTGCAGTCATTTTCTTATAGTATCTGTCAACGTAATTAATTCATTAGGACTGGGTGACATGTTATTTGATGTTCAGGTCTCGTATCCTGCCCTTACAAGGATTAATGAAGAGAATCCAAAGATCAACAATGATCCATTAATAGACTAGCACAAAAGAAGACCACAAAACGATCAGGTAACTGTCCAAGTTCAGACTATTTATCACATATGGCTGATAATTCTTTATTGGTGAGATGTTATCATTGGCTTCTAGAGTAACTCTTCCAGAGAATCAACAGTTGATTTAATCAAATCTGCCCCCAGAGAGAGTCTGATTTCCTCACTGTCTTCTTTACCGTAGCACTAGCTGTGAAAAGCAGATGAAATAATCACCTCTACATTAGCTGCCTCAGTCTGAACATGACTGAGCTCTAATCTCCTGATGGCACTTCTGATGGCTTTTACACAATATTACAGATCTCAGCCAATGAATTATAACTGACAGCATAATATGAAATTGAAGTTTTACTATAAAATTAAATGACTGGGAATGACATTGCCCACATTATCTGTTCCAGTCTGCACTGCATGTAATCACATCATAGCATAAGCAGAGGATGAAAACGTGACCTGGGAATAAACTGATGAACTATGGATTTATGCTTTTGATTGGTTAAATCATTGCAGATCACATACCTTTGTATAACTATCACAGATTTTCTGCACGCCTGAAAACACCTTAATTTTTCAGGGGCCTTAAATTTCAACAGGAATGTCATCACTTTGGTGACACAGGATAGGAAAGAAACAAATACATATCTGCCACTATCTTTAGGAGTAGAAATAGAAATTTTAAGATTTATCTAGAATGTATTAATACTCAACTCAAATCAGGAATAACATCCAATAACATATATTTCCTGAGCTATTTAGCAATTGCAGGAGTTTTACAAAAATATTTTCCCACTATAGTCTTCTCAAACTTTATTTTAAAGAGCTCACCAGAATTCTGCCTACTGGATTTATTATCCAAGAGGGAAAATGCAAGAGATGTGACTGAATTCTTTTATTATTTCTCCCCACCTCTAGCTTTTAAAAACACTTATCTGTCCAAGATCTTTACTTTTATTTCACTTTCACTAAACTACTCACTATGATCAGTGCCGGTGATTTGGGCAAGGATGCGGAAAGAGCGGGACTGGGTGGTGCCTGTCCGGGGATGCCAGTCTTCGGTGTCTTCAATCAGCCGCTTCTTGCTGGCATCGCTGTGGGTGGGTGTGTGGTAAAACTCTGTATAGGTATCCACAATGTGCTTCCGCGGGGGGCTGCTCAAGGAGAGGAGAGAGCAGTGAGTGGAAAGCTTCAGAGACCACCTAGGTTGGAGTAGCTATGAAGACATGGGCAGAACTGTGACTTGTCACAGCCTTTAAAGGCAGCTTCTGCATTTGAATACAGATGTGCAGCAGTGAGCTCTACAGGCATGCCTGACCACAGGCTCAGTTCTCTGAACCAAACACAGCTTTATCATTTCTCTAACCCATTTGAAATATTTTTCCTTGTTTCACTGCTGGAACATTCAAAACAGTAAAAGACAGTATTATCAAGACATTTACATGTTTAAACCTTTACCGTTTGGGTGGGTTTTTCCTTGGAGATGACAGAGTAAGACAGCAAGAGAAAGTTTTCCCAGCATAAACAGGAAAAGGAGAAAAAGAAAACAAGAAATAAAGTTAGAAAATGGAACTAGAAGTGCAACTAATTATTCTATTGAATTAGTTTTGTGGGAAAGGGCATGGAAATCCATGATATTCTCATCCTACTACTGAAACCACAGCACGGAACTCCCATACTTAAATTTAACTCACAGCGATTTCCTTAGGGATGAGAGGGAAATTTGTTTTAGTAAAGCAGGATCATCTACTTAATTCGGGTCAGGTGCCCCTCGACAAATTTTCCCCTTAGTTCACACTAAGCAAAGCACTAGCTGTGCGCAAGGGCCACCCAGTACATGCCAAGTCTTTTATGCTTGGCAAAGCCTGGATCAGAACTGGGTCATTTGAAAGCACAGGTAGCGATGTTCCAGAGCATAACGTGGAGATATTGATGCTCAATACCCTCGCTGGAAGTAAAAAAAGTGGGGTAATATTTTCATCTGGAAATGTTCCCCACAGTAACCTACATGCTATTATCAGTCCCTGCACTATCAGACTTGCAAGAATACCGGATTTAAAAGCTTTGCTTTCTGTAAGTGATGTAAAGGACATGTAACAGTACTGATCAGTTTAGGAAGAGAGAACAGAAGATTCATTTTAGACTCTATTTAATGCTCCTAAATTCTACATTTGTTATCCTAAAGCATTAATCTTTAACATGCTTTAAATGTACATTTATTTCTACATAATTTACAGATTAACTGTGCAAAACTAGCTCCTAAGACATAACAATTCTAACAATAATTTAAAAACACCCCCAAAAATGACAACAACAAAAACAATAACAAAATTTTAAAAGTCACTTTTCCTTTTGCCACTATTTCCCCACTGTACTTTTAACGTCCAAAATATTTCTGGTGAAGAAAGGTGGAAGATATGAATGAGAATGATGTAAATTATTAATTGCTAAAAAGTAAGAATTAGGCCCATTCAATGGAATGCATTAGTAAATACTTAAGCTTAAAAGAATACTTAATACTTGAAAGAATTATGTAAAAGGTATCACACAAAATGATATCAAAATATTGAATTTCTTGACATACAGTATTAGTGAAGTATGTGTATCACGTATCAAAGTTACTAAAAGAGGGAAGGGTATAGGAACAAAGATAGACATATTTCCAGGGAGAGGTACAGAAACAAAGACATACCTGGTATTTCCAGGATGGAGTACAAGAAGTACAGAATAAAATGAAGTAAAAGCATCAAAACAGTTAATAGCAAAAATAAAATATGAAAGTTAAAGCAGTAATTAAAGGTGTGGAACTACATGGAAATGTAATTATTTACATGCAGTTGACTTCATTCTAGCAACTACCACAGTGAAATAAGTAGTCTTTCACATCTGTTGAAAGTGGGGTTATAAACAAAATATATCCCACCAGCTTCTCTTGAGGATCCTACTGGTCCCTTTTTTAAGGCTTAAAAGTCTACTAGCAATGACTCACTGAGGCAACAAGGTGGTGCCAGAGACAAAGGAAAATTATGAGCCAGGCTCTCCCTTAACTCAGCCTTGAGGCAAGGTGAGAAAAGACAAGCCAATCAAACCTCAATCGTATTTATCATCCCTAACATGTACAAATCACAACATATGGTTATTACTCTTACTTTGTTGTAAGAATTCAGCATCTGGCCCTTAATTCCATAGTGCTCAAACCATTTTTGCTTTTATACTGTATTTCACCATTTACTAGTTGTATTACCAACACCAAGCAGTCATTGGTACACCAAGAATTTATCAATACACACAAACACCACACCAATGTTTTGTGGAATAAAAAAAGCTGCAAAATGTAACACAGTGAAAAGCAAGATCACATCATGTCCAATGCAGACAAAACCATTTACTACACTAAGAAGTTACTGAGAAAAGCTGAAGCTGTTTTGCAAAATCTAAATATAACGCTCTGAGAGCTATAATTTTGCAAAACAAGAATACATGCTGGTTATTCCAACAGGAAAAACAACCATAATTCAACTCCAGTGCTGTTGATACTAACTTTGTCATTGCTGTTATCTGCAAGGGAAAAAGAGTATTTGATGTGTTAAAACATTCTTTGCTTCTTGAAATATTACAGGAGTTTCCAAATCCAAGCTCTGGTAAAGCCATATATCATGTAAGTCAAACTTTGAATCATCAAGAGAACCTATAAGGGAAAAATTTAGCCCAGCTGAGCTTAAACTGAGTGAAGTCTGTGGACAACTTACCCGTTTTAAGCAGCAGGCACTTTTTCATGCAAGAGTTGGCAAGAAGGTCTTGATTAAGAATAATTGCACGCAAGCTTGTGAAAGCAAATTGCTTTCTGTCTAAGCCAGGGCTAAACAAGGGAAACAAAACTTCCTTCCTCATTCTGAAGTGAAGGCAAGTAGTTTATTTCCTGAATGTAGTTTGAGGAAGGGAGGAAATTCTGAGTATGACAAGGTACACATCTGAAGAACTGCATTTGCTCAGCAATGCTATCTGTGAACAAGTTGTGGGATTTTTTGGAGGGTTTTTTTGGGAAAATGAGCAATACAAAACACAGAAGCAAAATGGATTTATTTCAGACATCAATTATTCTAATGTCAATGTTTCTGACATTTCATAAATGTAATTGATTCCATTTTAAATGGGGAACTAGTAAAGAAAAATTACACTTCTACAACGATGCTAAGTAAAACTAAGCAAGTCATGTAGTGACATACCAATATAATCACTTTAGGGGTTTTGTTTGCTTATTTGTATTTTCTGCCTTAGGACTGCAAGACAGTTAGACAGCCCAAATACACTATCGTAAGAAAGATGACAAAATAAAATAGGTTTTTACACCTTTAAACAATTTCAAGCTTTCCCCAACTAGATTTGCAAGACTGGCAGCAAGACAGGGATTTCCTAATCTGTCAGCTGTGATACTCTTCAGTTGATATTAATTCCATCCCTGAACCATAAGGCAGGGCATATAACATCACTCACCCAGCCATCCTATCTTGATTGTCAAGTGCTTATCTACACTTGCAGCACTTCCTTCCAGGAGACTTAATTTTGTTGCTATTGCTCATCTTTTTGAGTACTAATTGCTGCTTTTGAGTACTCTTTACACAGTATTTGCTAAAACAGCATTCCTGGAAAAACAGACAGTTTGCCAAAGCATATTCAACAAGTCTACCAGCATCGAGCAAGTCCTTGGGATCTCCCAATTTCATCACACTTCTATGCAGTGTGGACTCCTGCCATCAGCTGTTTAAGAAAGGGCTGGAAGTTACCGTGACAACAGTGTGATATAAAATGCATACGGACTGCATTATATGAGTCCGCACATGGAAAATATTCGTACTGCAATAAAAATGGAATAGGTACCTAAAGAAGTTTTTTTTTCCCCCCATGAGAAGCTCAAATGAAACTGTAATTTGTTCTGTATTTCAGTTGATGTGGATGTTTACTTTTCTGTAGGGCTCTTCATATACTTCATATTCTGAGAGAATATCAGAAGGAAGAGGCACTAGACCTACTTCTCCAGCCCCCCTCCTTTGAGGGATGGGAAGCAGTAACCACAGCTTTTAGGTTTTAAGCACAGGTTTTACATTCTGAAGATCGAAGAGAAACCTACAGTTCCCCTCCTGCCCTTTTTATTACTTCATTCAATCTGAAACAGGGCAGCGGTGCAGGTCTGAGTGCCCAGGATTGCTGCTGGGCTCAGTTTAATTTACTAATCTATTGTTTACTAGCCTAGATACTATACCAGATACAGTATAAGCCTTCTATGTGGCCTTACAGTCCCTTAAATATTAGGTCTCCAAAATCCACTTTAACATAAATATGTATTTTAACGTGAAAATTATTCAAATTTTAAATCTGTGTTGCTTTTTTAGGGAAAAGGCAACATTTAAAGTTGAGGTATTTACATTATAACACTGTAAAAAATCTGCTCAACCATGCCAGCTTCCTTGCATACATCTTAAAAGTTTCTCATGTGTTGTGCAAAGAAGTAATGCAACATCTGTCCCTTTGCCTCCCTTCCGGGACCTTTCTTCACCAGTCCTGATGGGGCCATGGCTGGTCTTTCAGAGCATCTCATTCCTGGCCACTGTGACACTCTCCGACCCTTCTTGACAGACTGCTCTGCATTTTTGAGTGCCTGCTGCTTTCAGTCACCATATCAGGAGTCAAAATACACAGTGAGACATAAACATTGAAATTAATACCAGGCTTGTTGTAAGGTCCAGAACACATCATAATCCATAAAGCACTTCATAGTCCTGATTCAATTTAACTGTGACACACTATAAACTGATATAATGTCACGCCTGAGAAAAATCATCACCAAAAGTCTGGCTTGGCCCTTGGAAGCATCACTTTAAAGATGTGAGGCCTTCCTCAAAGATTTGCTTCTGAGGATTAAACAACTCCTCTGAGCTGTGTTTTATTCATCCCTTAAACAAGCCCAGCTTTTTTCCTGTGAGGAAAGACCCTCACAGCAAAAAAAAAATCCCACCTACCCATTTTGCTGTTTACTCTCCCCCTGGTTTTCTCTGAATCCTCGTCGCGGCCCCTCAGCTACATCCTGGGCGCCGTGGGTGGCAGAGGCGCTCGGGGCGGCATTGTGCGCGGCGGCGGGCTGCCGTGGGACATTAACTGCAGGTTTAGCAGCGCTCGGCACAGGCGACCGCTGCTCAGCATTAGGCTTGGCATTAACATGCAGTCCAGGAGCAGCAAATGGGGCCGGGGCGGCAGCTGCCGCCTGGGCCGGGGTGAAGGCGGAGGACGGTGATGGGATGGAGGTGACTTTGGAGGACATTACGGCTCCAAACGGCCTCGGTGTCTTATTGTAAGCCACGCTCGCCGTGGCAGTGACTTTGGGTGCAACAGCAGAGGCAATGGGCACAGGCTTAACTACTTCTGTAGGTTCTCCCTATGCGAGATGAAAAACAAAAAAGAAACACACAAAACCACACCAAACGCATGCACATTCCTCAGCAGGGATTTTCACTGCTCTCAGGGGAGATAACCCATCTAGCGTGAAACGAAGAAGCACAGAAGCAAGCTTTACCAAGGTTACAGCCATGAAATGTATGGAAAAAAGTGAGCCATGCGTTTTAGGTAAGAGAATGATCCAAGCATGCACAAGCAATATGAAATCCCATGATTTTAACTCCTCTCATCATATCCAAAACAGACACCCCACAAATCAAATTCAAGACAAACTGAAGAACCACTATTGCAAAACCCACCGGGTAGGTCATGTGGAAAAAATTAGTGTTTTTTTTTTTATAAAAATCCACATTCCACCTCAAACCCAATTCAATATATGCACGTTCCCCATACACAAACAGCATGTGCATGTGTGCACACACTGTATATACTGATTTGTTGATACTGCCCTTAAAAGTGAAAACAGAGCCCTGGAGCACATTTATTAAAGGCCAGTGCTTCAGGACTTTAAGTTTTTCCAGTTGCACTCTACAAAATGTGCCCCAACATCTTCATATACCCTTGTCAGATCAAAACACTCAAAAAATGTGATATTCCCCACTCACCAGGGAATTATGTTTTAACATGGTGGTTCTCAAACTGTGGCCTTTCAAATCACTGTCAGAGCAGTAATCTACTATACTTTATGTTCACTGGAGAAGATTTTCAAGTACAGGTCATCTGTAAGCATTTTCAGGTTTGCAAACAGCCTTCTTATCTAAAACAGGGGTTTGAAACTATAGCTTGAGAACATAACATAGGAAGAATTTGAGAACCAATAAATTCCCTAGGGCTATAAGGGAAGTGAGGGGAATTCTTCTCCAAAACTCTAATATTTAGATAACCTTCTTTCAAATCCAAAGGAAGATTTCAGTGTCCAATTTTTTTTAAAAAAAAAAACAAACAACAAAACAAACAAACAAAAAAACCCCAAAAACCAAACCACCACACTACACAAAAAACCCCACCCCAAAACAGCCAAAAGAACACCCTCCCCCACCAAAAAACGCTATTACTGTTTCTCTCTTAGGGACAGAGGTAAAAATTCAGCAATATCTTTCTTAAAAAGTATTCTGAGATTTGGAAGATAACATTTATTCACCTCTTCTGTGGATAATAATTTGCTAGGTCTCTCAATTCTAAAAAATTAGGGAGGGGAAAAAAAAAAATCACTCAAAGATTTAAATGCTGCAATACTCTTAATGTGACACATGGAAATTAAGCATGTTATATTGAAAGAAAAGTTTGAATGACAGTGCTTATCAACAACAGGGTTTGGTAGATGGGTAACAGTTAGTGCCACATGCTACATTTTTTGGTTGTGATGATGAACATACCTTTGGTACATGAATAAGATCGGGTTTTTGTACAGGCACTCTGGAAGAGGAAAACATACACATAATCATTAAAAACAAGTTATTTAATGCTTAACCATTTCCCTCTTCCAACTCACCATATCTACCCACAGATATATAAAATATTTCATTTTGTTTCCTCTAAAGGAAACAAGAAGTGTTCAAGTTAAACCTACAACATTGTTATTAATACAAGGAAAAGGCAAAACCAAACTGGATTAATTTATTCAGATACCTTAGGAACTCTATCACCTATCATCAAGTACTATTTGATTTATAAATTCATAACATCAGATCGCCAGTTAGGAGATTTCATCTCCAATTTGCTTACTGTTTTCCATCCTTTCGGAAGAAACTATGTCACATAACTCAAAAGCTCTGGTCAGATAAACTGCATTTTAAACAGCGCATAACCTTTATTCACGCTTAAAATAGAAAGCTTCCTTTTAGAATAAGAACAACAACAATCCTTCGAAGGACTTAGCAAGTTAAATAATACAGAAAATTTTTGTACAGTCTTTGGTCTTCAAAGATAAGGTTAATGTCACTTGAACTCTATAGTAGATGGCAAAAAAATATATTCCAAACAATGTCTGCATTGAAACTACTGTAGGATGGTAGGAAGGAAAGGAAGTACCGCAATGGAAAGGATGAAGATGATAAAGAATTGACAGATTTTGTTACACCTAAAGTGAACTGGCAATATATTACAGGCAAAGGCATCTTTGCACATACATATGTGCAAAAATACACACACATACAAAATACATAAAAAACCCTCTGACACACTGACATTTTGTCTGCAAACATTGCTGCTGATACACTTGAGTCTTTTTTTTGCTGTTTTGGTAGAAAAGTGGCTTCCTGCCACATTTCAAAACATTTCTGGCCATATTTGGTAGCTGCTCAGAAAAGCTGGCACCCTTAATGATCCACAGGACCCAGCAATCATATCCTGCCTGCAGACAGCCCTGATTTCTGACATGTCTTCTAAACAGGGTTTTAAAGAACTGAAGACAGATTTCTCATGTTCCAAAAGATTATTTGCCAGGGAAGGAAAAAGGTTTGTTAATTTGAGATCGGCTAACAGAGGCTAAAATTCAGTTTAAACACATCCATTGTATAAGCCAGCTTTTCTATTTTATACCAGGAAAGCATGGAGAGATTGATTTGAATTAGGCACACTTGTCCCATTTAACAACTCTGGTTTGGGTTTTTTTTGTTTGTTTTTTTGTTTTTGTTTGTTTGTTTGTTTTTTTTACTAATTGCATTCAAAATGTTAACTCCTTCCCTCAAAATCATTTGGGTCTCAGGGCTCATCAGATTCCAGCAACAGGAATCCTGCTGCAGGTTCAGTAGCTAACTTGCAAAAAAAAAAGGGAGACACATACAATCCACATGCTACATTGGCAGGCAAAAAAAAAAAAAAGCCACAGCATGAGAAGATCATCTTCTGCACTTCACCTTCACCATTTGTGCATTGCTGCTGACAGACATTATGTCCACATCAACAGTAATTCTCAGAGAGAGGGTTTTGTCCGCTTCAAGGAACAGGCCCGTTCTCCCCTTTCCCACAGAGCGTGTAGCCTATGAGAAGGCTGACCTCCAGCCCTCCAAAGCGCTGGGGTGCATCATTAATCATTCCTAATTGCAGAATTGTCAATTTGCAGCAACAAAAGCAACAACAAGAAGAAAAAAATGCCAACACATATGGAAACTTCTTTCTTTTTTATGACCAGAGTTAGAAGGAAACATACATCTCGCTCCATATCCTAGGTATACATTTTTAATAAAGTAACTTGGAATATTTTGTGTATTTATTAAGCTGCTCTAACAGTAACAAGTAGAAAGACACTCATTATTCAAGTCAAATACCATATTTCATGCTTGAGAAAAAACAAAACAACTTCTCTTTGCTAATGCTGGATCTCGAAGTTTCAGTCTCATAAAAGGAACATACTTGAATTTTGGTGTTTTTACAAAATGAACAAATTTCAGTTTGCAATGGATGAGAATGCTCTGAATTCATCAATACAGCACTGAGCAAAAGTGACTTGAAACCACTATTTCCAGATGATCTGAGGACATAATCTTCAAAATTATAATATAAAACAAAGAAAGAGAAAGGAAAGAGAATGGAAAAAAGGCTTTATAACCAGAATGTTTGCAATGTTCTTTTAACACTGGAGTCAGAGAGCATAACATTACTTTATTTCCCCCAAACATACTTGAAACAAGGACATAAATTTGTGTATTCCAGACATACTTCGAACAGTTTAACTTGGCCTTGTTGACTTCAGACCATAATCAGACTAAAATCTGTGATTTATCCCATATTGTATAAAGAAAATGCTCACCCAGCAATCTGAGCCACCAAGATCTGAATGTGAAAAATGCATGGTGGTTAGACAAGACAGTACAAAAGGAAATGCACGCTTCAAGCTGAAAATCAAAACATGTCCAACACATACATTTAAGAAAATACATTCTTCAGGGCTATTTCTCTCAGGATTTTGGCAGATACTAGAAAATTGCATAGCAAAAAAATAATTAAACTGCAGAATCTTGTACATTTTCTCAGCTGTTAGCACTTCACTTGCCACCTAGCAATTAAACACATGCATGCTGGTTTGGTCATGTTGAATGCATGAATAATTGATGATAAAGACTTTCAAAATGAGATGACACACTTGTCCTGTTACTAGAAAAGTAGGATGGCTTGAAGCAAGATATTTTCTGAATGCTTTAAAATTAGCAGTTCAGTATATTAGTTTATGCAATATTTTCAACAACATACAAACAAAGCAAAAACATAAAAGCCCTGTATAAATGTTTATTATAAACAACACACACAAAGGATCTTGGCAAACAGTTACAGTTTTGAGCTTCTTATGAATTATTATAGACAGTGAATATAGAAGCAGCAGCCATCACTTACTGACAGCCTAATAATGAAAATGGAAGTGTACAAAGTTTTTGCACAAGCTTTTCCAACCAAGGCATTTGTTCTTTCATTAAAAAAGCTATATTTAGCCTGTCTACACAGTTCATCTCAACCTAACATGATCAAGTTTGTTTTCCAAACATACCATAAGCCATTCCTCTCTGATGAACACTTTTGTGACATTTAATGAAATTCAAAACATTCCGAATTCCAGTGCAGCCTTATTAGGAAAATTAATTAGTCTGCTCTTTGCTGTAAGCAACATGCCCAGAAAAAACTATTCATTCTTCAAATTCTCCTTTTATTCATTCCCATTCCGAGTATTTCACCCATAAAAAAAAAAGACACAAGCAATTCAACAGACCCCTTCTATAATTATCAATAAACAGAAAAATCCATTATTAAAGATAAAGCTACAGTATTTCATGCTTCTGCAATGAGTACAATTTGATACATCATCTCCAAAGACTGACCATCAATGAAAACACTGTAATCCCAATAATTAGTACTATGGAGGTAAATTCAATGAAAAGCAAGAATTTTTTGGACAAGTCTCAGTTGTCCTGTGTGTATAATCACACAACAGAGGCCCATACCCTCAGACAATAAATCTCTAAAGCTTCATTATACCTAAAATCCAAAAGACGTTCCAGATACATCTCTCTGAACTCCATTTAAAGTCCCACGACCCTCAGTCCTTCTGCCCTTAGTAAAGGCACTATATATTCTTAACTTAAAAAGCAGATGCTGAACTCAATGGAAAAAATCACAACATAACTGTGCTTATGAGCCTCTCTATAAACAAGGGTAGCACACAATACCAGTATTAACACAGGTATTGTGTTTGGGGTTGTTGTGTCTGTAACTTAAAGGATTGCTCATAAACTCTAGTGTGAGATACAGGAGGCAGCTGCAAAGCTTTCACTGCTGAAACAAAGTCAAGGCTGGAAGATTTTCTGCAAAATTGTATTTTTTTGGTTCCAAACTAAACCTTTCAAAGAAGAAGGAAGAAAGCAAGGAATTTTTCCCACTCCTCTCATTTTCAAAACTAACTTATTTTTCCTAGCTGATCAATCAGGATACAGGTTTTGGCAGCAGGTACCATGTCCCTGAAAAGCCACCGGTCAGATCTTCCTTCCAAAAACTTTTAGAAGTTTTGCCATTGTAGTCTCCAGTCCTGTTCATTTGCTTCATTTTTATTTCTAAAGAGCTGTCAGTTGACAGGGCAGAAAGCTAAATATATTTGCTTTTCATAAATTAGCCAACTCAAGAAAAAAGATGACAAACATTTAACATATATAACAAGCCCTGACTTTCACTAGAGGTTATCTGAACAAAAACAAATGCAGATGCAATTTAAAGCACAGAAGAAAGAACAATCCAAATATATTTCTTTTTTCCTTAGACCTAAGCCCTTTCTTTATCACAGATATAATTAACTTCTTACCAACCTTGCTCTGGCTCACAACAATAAAAAAGCAAAAACATTCTTAAGCTTGCTTCTTGTTGGAACTTATACACCATCAGAAATGGTTGCCTTATATACACTAATACAACACACAACTACATTTCCCACAGTTTTGTAGCAACGTACACACTGCCCCGGGCAATACCAGTTGTTAAATCAGCACTTTGGCATACTTGCCATCACAAGCACATGTGGCTTTGAGACTGCAAACCTGCACACATCCCAGTGCATAGCAAAGCAGATATAGTAAAATTACCATTAAGTACCACTCAATGAGAACTGCAGTCTGTTGCAGTCATTGCAAAAAGGAGGTTACTTTTTTTTTTTCTCCTTAAGAAACATGGTAATGTTTTCAAATCTATACTCTAGTCATCATGCTTGCCGACATACCCACAGATGGCTGTCAACAACATTTTTCAAGTCATTCTCTTTTTTCTAGTTTATTATTTTTGTTTTCATTTAGTTGAACGTATCAAATTATGACAAATATGTCAATGACAAACAATGCAGACTTCAGTACTGACCGCCTGCTTAAGAGAGCAAATGGCAACTTCAAACCAGAGAGAAGATAAGATGCATAAATGGCACTTCAGATATGGTACATCTCCAG